GTCATTACCTAAACCTAAACAACTTCACAACAACAGTTCAGATCACATGCTTTAAGCAACTTCATACTGTATTTTGTTCTGATTGATAAAAATGCTTATGTTTAATATAACTGGTGGACATAGAAACCAAATAACAACACAGAAGACTCAAGTTTCATGGTGACACAAGATAATCTAACCTTAAATATTTGTGTCTGCTTGCCTTAGGAGAGATTTGTCATGACTGACTGATGACTTTATTTAGCCTATTAACACATTACCATCAGCATCATGCTATTTATTTGAATGAGTCAGAGGCTGAAATACAAAAATGTAAGATTGAGCCTACATGGCTGAAGAGTAGAGCTACTTACTGTAAAAAAAAATGAGTTTAGTTTCAAATATTATTAAACCAAATTTATCTTTTTATAACAAACATAACAATACAAATGTTAAGAATTGGGTCAAATTTAGGAGCGGGTTTCCAGCAGCAGTGTATGTCAGAAGAAGTTTCTTTGTTTCTTTTATCTAAGCATAAATGATTTGGAAAGGGGTAGCTTGCTATGACAGGTATAAATCTTATACTGAGCAGCAAGTGGCAGAAATAACCCAAGCCTTACCCTGACGGCATTTTTTAAAAAACTTCTCATGTTTTTGAACATGTTTCATTGAATGTTGAACCTGATGTGCTTTAAATTTTTTGAGGGCATTAGAATACGTTAATTTATCCCAAAAAAAGTGTAAGATTTGGGGGGAATTCGACTACTGGCTTTCCATCCTAATGATTCCAACAATTTGGAAGGGGTGTTTTTGGTCTAAACTGCTGCACTGACCATGGTCCCTTTATAATCTTGATGACACTGGAAAACATTGTGACTGCTGTCTTTATGTGTCATTCTTTCTTGGTCTGCTGTAGGCCTTCTCATATTAAACATTTACTTTACAAGGTGAATGCCACCAATAAACTTGGAAATCCATTTGGTATTTCCACTCTCACAGAAAAGTGTGCTGTTTTTCTCAAGATGGAAACAAATGGACATAATCTGTGACCAACATAATTAAATACGTTCTTGAATTTCATTTTTCGCTGATAGTTTATAATTAAATCACAAGCTCATCCAAAGCCTCAAATTGTTGACTTTGGTTTGCATGTTCTATTTCGTGTAAGCTCCGCCCTCTACCCCCGTGCGCGTACGCGCATTCTGAACAGCCGATAGTCCACGCCCACTTACTGTGGGACTCACCTCGGTCCGTATAAAAGGGGAGGACGGACCTAAATTCAGCTCTCCATTTTTCTTCAGCTTCGGAGTTCTGCAGGTTCCATAGAAGACGCCCATACATGTAAGTGCTATGATTCTATTATAATGACATGGAATTCGTGTCCTGCGCCACCGAGCTATGATCCGCTTGGCCGTCCTTCCGGGCTGCTCGGGGATCGGTTTGTCCCCGGCATAACCCGTTTTTCACTTCGGTCTCCTTCCTCGGAAGAAGGTTGATCGTGGTTTAGCTAGCATATATTTCCCGCGGGTTTCCCCGTGGTGCGGTTTTAAGCTAAGCTAAGGCGCCGGACACCCTCGTGCCTCCACGGAGTCCCCGTTTTTCATAGCCGCTACTAACTCACTCCTTACACGGATGTGGTAGCTAGTAGTTAAGGCATTAGACATCGACGTTTCCAGCCAGGACTGGACTGGAAGCTTTCCCAGATATTTCGGACCATGCGCTTCTCATCTCGGCATGGTCTGGCTATCTTCTCCGGGGACGGAGGTCCAGGCTAGCGTTTTTTCCCGCCGGAGATCACGGCGGSAAACTAGCTAAGCCGGTTAACCACCTAGCTAAGCTAAGCAGTGCGATAGTTTCAGCCTTTTTTGCGCTGAACTGCATCCCGTTTTTTAAACTGGAAAAAAAGTTCTCTCATTCTGGCCCAATCCATCACGTATCTGGGTGTGGATCTGAACTCAGTCACCATGACAGCTCATCTGTCTCTAATCAGAAAAGAGACTCTGCTGTCGTTGTTAGCGCATGTCAGACACTGCAGGTCAGTGACAGCTCTAACCATCATGCGTCTCCTGGGCATGATGACAGCAGCCCACGTGGTGGTTCCACTCGGGCTGCTACACACGAGACACTCAGGTGGTTCTCCCAGCTGAAGATCGATCCRGTACGCCACAAGCGCAGGATCGTATTGATCCCTTCCTCAGTGGAGGCAGATTGAACCACTGGAGGAAGCCACACACACTGTCAGCAGGAGTCCCTCTGAGCAGAGCGACACATCACGTGCCGGTCTTCACAGACGTGTCACTGTCACGGTGGGGGGACATGCTTGTCCCAGACTATGGGAGACCACTGGTCTGCCCATCCTGTCCCTCACATAAATGTTCTGGAACTTCTGACTGTGTGGAAAGTGCTGGTGCCTTTTCACTCATCTGGTCCGGGACCAGCATGTTCTGGTCCACACGGATAACAAAGTGGCAGCGGCTTACAAAACCGCCAGGAAGGGGTATGTTCCCGGCAGCTGCTGGACACAGCCAGAGAGCTGCTCCTCTGGGCACACACCCACTTGCGCTCAATTTGAGCGCTTTACATTCCGGGTGTGCTGAACAGGGGAGCAGAAATCATGTCCAGAGGGGGTCCCCAGTATGGGGACTGGGCCCTGCACATGACCATAATGACGCAAATCTGGGACAGATTCGGTAAGGTGGAAGTGGATCTGCTCGCCAGCAGAGAAAACGCACAGTGCGACCTCTGGTTCTCTCTGAGCTCACGGGACGACCCTCCTCTGGGAGTGGACGCCTTTGCGCACCGTCCCTGGCCGGACAGGCTGCTTTATGCATTCCCTCCTGTCCCTCTGATCCCGCGACTATTGGACCGGATCAGAGCAGACTGACTGCGGTTTATTCTGATCGCTCCGGAGCGCACGGGAGCGCACTGGTTCTCGGTTCCTCCAGTCATTACTGTCAGGCCTCCCGCTCCAGCTACCCTGGCAGGAGGACGCTCTCCTGCAGGCGGGAGGAGCGATCAAGAGCTTCCCGAAACTGGGCCAGCCCCTCTGGGCCTGGCCGCTGAACGGAACGCTTAGTAAACCTGGGTTTATCTACTGATGTGGTGCGCACCATCCAGGATGCGCGCGCAGCATCCACAGTCGCATCCTTCCAGCGCTGGTGTGTAGGAAAAACTGCAAATCCAGTTCACCGCTCCTTGTCCTGCATTCTTTCTTTCCTACAGATGCTAATGGACAGAGGTTTAGCCTTCAGCACCGTTAAGACTTATGCTGTGACAATTTCCTCCTGTCACGTGGGTTTTGGTGACAGGACGGTTTTTAATCATCCGTTGGTAAAACGGTTCTTAAAAGGAGTGTGCAGGTGCAGACCTGTCACTCGCACACTCGTACCACAGTGGGTTTTAACACTGGTGCTACACGCTTTAGCTAAAGCACCTTTTGAGTTTTTTGGATCAGGTCTCACTAAAGCTTTTATCTCAAAAAACAGCGCTGCTGTTAGCGTTAACATCAGCAAGAGAGTCAGCGAGCTGTCTGCCCAGTCAGTGTCTCCCTCCTGCCTCAGGATACGGGAAGATGGCGGCTCTGCGACTTTGCGTCCCAACCCGGCTTTTATGCCTAAGAGCATCACAAGCTTTTACAGCTCCAGAGTTATTACTCTGAGCGGTTTTTGTCCTCCTCCTCATATTCGGAGGAGGAAGCAGCTTCTCACTTGCTATGTCCCGTGCGCGCACTCTCGTGTTATGTTTCACGCACGGCACAGATCGGGCGCTCTCAGTGCTTGTCTGTTCACTACAGAGAGCAGTCTGCAGGACAACCTTTGTCCTCTCAGAGGCTGTCACATTGGGTTTGTGAAGTGATGTCGCTGGCTTACATCTCATCAGGTTGCAGCCTCCAGCTGTACTGTCAGCTCATTCCACAAGGGGGATCTCTTCCTCCACCGCTCTGTACAATGGAGTATCAGTCCAGGATATTTGCTCTGCAGCCTCCTGGTCATCCCCTTGCTCCTTCATCCGTTTTTATCTACGGGATGTTTCGGGCCCCTCTCTGACTCACTCTGTTCTCAGGACCGTGTCAGAGTAATATATATTTTTTGTTTTAAATTATTAGACAAATAATGACTTGGTGCTTGAAGTGATACTGCACACACAATGTGCTGTCTCTTCTTCACATCATCTGGATCATGTGATGGACACAGGGGCTCATGCAAATCTGTTCACTATGTGAATCAGCTGTTGCTGCTGCCTTTTTTGCTTAAGCAAATGGGGTTTTTTGGGCTGGAGCTTCACGCGTATGTCAAGCCGGTGAGGCGTAGACTACATCAGGCTCCGCCTCTAATACCCATCTGCGATAGCCTTAGAGGGCGGAGCTTACACGAAATAGAACGTTGGTTACGTATTGTAACCCCAGATTCTATGAGTGTAAGCGCAGCCCTCTAAGGATCGCGCCCATGGCTACCCCCGTAGCTGAAGAAAAAGTAAGCTATTGGGAGCTGAACTCAGGTCTGTCCTCCCCTTTTATACGGACCTAAGTGGGGCC